TATATATATATATATATATGCGTATATGTGTGTGTGCGTGGGTATGTGTGTGTATGTGTGTGTGTATATGTGTGTGTATATGTGTATGTGTGTATGTGTCTCCACTAGGTCCATAAAGGGTTAAAACACCAACACCCTAACACGCTCCTTGCGCCGACAGAATTTGTCTTTAGAAGATCAGCCAATTGATAACATTCGAAATGAAATCGTTTGACGGGGGCGCATTCATAATCAGTCCCAACTCAATACATGTAATAAAACCGCCAGTTTCTTTTTAACTATGGTTCAGGCGACGCAGAACTCAAGAAAAATAAAAGACCAAACGCGCTTTACGGGGTGGTATTGTTTGTCAGTTTACACCCACTATTTTTAATTTTTATTTTTTTCTTTCATGTTGACAAAATACGAACAGAGAATAAAAAATATATCGGCTGCGCATATTGGCATATTATATATACGTAACTTAATCAAACACTGCCTATAGATAGATAAGTACCAAAAAAATCGAAGCGTTCAGGTGAGTGGTTGGCGGGTGTTCTAGTGTGGTTTGCTCCATTTTTTCCCCAAATCAAACGTCTGATTCAGTCGTACTTTTATCTCCCCCTTCTTTTCTTTGTATTTGCTCAAGCAACACCTCTACTCTTCGGCACTTATAGATAGGGTCTATTCGCGTTGCAAGCGCCGTAAAACTTTTACTAAAATTAAAAAGAAACATTCAGTCTGCCTCCCTCCCAGGAAGATTTCCCAGAGATTTCAGTGGGTGGTTGGCGGGTGCTCTGGTGTGGTTTGCTCCTTCTTTCCTATCAAACATCTAATCTTTATCTCCTCTCCTCCTTTTTTGTGTTTGATACTCTCCTGTAACACCTCTACTCTTCGATGACCATATTGTGTTGCAAGTGCCGTATAACATTTACTAACATTAAATCAGAGATCTCAGACAAGTCAGTGCTTGCCCCTTGCCGGTAGAGATATTGTATGTTGGGACTGAGAGGGGGAAATAAGGGCAACCAGAACTGGTGATTTGACCAAACACAACGATAACGATAATGCTAGGATTCTTTTTGTATGACCAGTTAGGGCTGATTCACTCCATCCCTCCATACACCATGGCTTTCTCTCTCTCTCT